CGGCTCCTGGCAACGGCGCAAGCGATCCACAGAGAAATAGGGGATCCAGCTATGGATGTTTGCATAGTCAACACAAGGCAGTGGGCAATCATGCTGGTCAGGATAGTAGGTGGTAGGGTCTCCAATGGGAGAAGGATCATGTTCACTCAAAGGCAACACCGCTTGGGAGCCGTTGAGGTTGATAGCAGCGTAGGTCCAACTTGCCCCCCCATAGAAGGGCAGCTGAAACACAACTCACGCTTGACCTCATTATGGTAGTGAAAGCCTGTGATTATAGAAAGGATGAGAGGTGGCATCCATCAGGAGCAGCTTGCACGCAATATATATATATATGCATGCATATACCTCTATAATCGCCACATGGAGGGTATCCAAACACTTCAAGTTATGTGGCCCGGCTTTCCGAGTACTGTACTTCGTCCCTCTAGCTATGTTCAAGCTATTAATTACTCCCCTGTAGTACCTAGATTGCGGCGAAGATAGGACCCCTGAAGCGGTTATTGTAAACCGCAGCCCCAAGAAATATAGCCGCATAATACTAGTATAGGCAAGCCTGAGACCTCGTATGGCAGGGGCTTCCTCAGTGTACATTCAAACATAGTGATAAAACAGGTATTAGACCCCTTCAGCAGCGCTCCGCTGCATGAAAGAAGATTGCACGGACTTCCTAATTAGGAAATTTGGTTGCAACCCCCTTGCTCGGTGGCATTTGTATACGAGATGTGTTTGCATCAACTGATGCAGTCTCTTTCGAAGTTAAAAGACTGCATATAATTCCTAATGTAGTTAGAACTAATGAGTAATTATCCGATGAAAAATTCTGCGATATCAAAGATCGAATTAGGATATTGCTTGGATATTATCAAGGACCTGCAGTCATGGAGGAACACACCCAAAAGCCGCTATATAACTCTATCGAGCAAGATTATCCGAACTTCATATCAACACCTAGCCAGGCTGAGTTATCATCGCGATTTCTAGGGGCAGTTACTGAGACCCCTATCGGCTCCGAGTCACCAGTCTCTACACCAACACCGGGGTTCTTCTCATCAACACCAGTACCTAGCAGCCAGATCAGTGAGACGCAGCTTACCACTGCAACAGGGGCAAGTCCTCGAGTAACTCGTTAGGAAGAGCTTGAAATAGTTTCTTTTGTTTTTCAACACTAGACCAGGCATGATGTTAACAATTGAAAATGTACGCCGTACCCTTAACACCATGCATGCCTGCTATATCGACTGTCTATTCATTCAGGGCTTCATCATAGTCAACCTTCTCGGGATATTTCTCCGTCAGCCGCTTTTGTATATCTTTGAGACATTCTAGCTTGTTGTATTTTTCAAGGTCAGGCCAGCCATGCTCTCGATATATCTCCTGCAAAAACTGGATAAACTGAGGCGAATCGCGGTAATTATAGACATCAATAACAGTGCCCGTACTAATGGGGATAAAGAGCAGACGGCGAAACTGGTCCTTGATAATCTCAAAGAAGTCTGGGATGGACCAGTATGCACCCTCGGCGCGCCACTCTGCCTCACTCATCGAAGCGTACTCGTACGGGTCGTCCCAGACTCGCTCACAGGGTGCGTTGGAGTCAAGCTGAATATCTCCGGGACACTCTGGCCAGTAAATAACACCAAGCTCTGTGTCGAGTAGAAGAGGGTAATTAATCCGCCCACCACTTGTGAGGCCGATAACATGAGGCGGCACATCATTCGCGCCATGGCCCTCTGAGCACTCTTTAATGCCCTCGAGCTCCAACCTGCCCTGGTTTATGGACATACAGGACTCCTCCCAATTTTCAAATTGACTGCATGGGAAGGTCAGGGGTTTGCCGTTTCCTAGATTGCGTATATAGGGAAGATGCCGCAGCAGCGCCGCGACTTCGTTCGTCTTGCCCAACTGTTGTATGGCACTAGGGGTAACCGATGGCCAGCCTCCTTCTGGCGGCTCCAGGATATCGCTCTCCTTCAGGTACATGGCGGTAAGAAACTGGTAATACCCACGGACTGCGGCGATGCACTCCTCGCGTGAGTAGGTGATGTCACAAAGCTCCGGCATATTGGCAGGCGGGCCCGTTTGACAGGTTGCTGCGCAGAATGTTACTGGATGCTCGTTCAGCTGTGTATGACGCCCGTACCCGTATCCTTATTGTTCTCGTAGGATATCGCAAACGCGCGCGGGTCGGATGGTGGAAATTTATATCCAGAGGGGTCACCTGGAGACAGTAACAACGAGTTAACAAAGGATGCAGCGCCCTGGCCGCCAAGGCCTGGCGTTTCAAGAACACCGAGTAGTTAATTCATAACAATTGGTGATCAGGCGAGCCCTAAACTATCGGAAGCTGCAGCTAACCTCCCGTCAGTGCATCCCACCGGAGCCAGGGCTGATGTCTTCCGACTGAGGATTTTCAATAATAGGTAGTTATCAATTCAACGGATCAGCTTTGCTAGAGTCCTAAGGCGGCTTTAAAATTGCAGAATGCTATTCGTTGGATTTAACCCCTGCCTATAATTTATGCTCATTCTATTGGTTGCTATAACTTCTTAGAGTTTATGTCTATAAAATTAACCAATAAACAGCGTTGGTTCCCATTGAAAAATATATGGTTGGTTTGGTCAGTTGGGTAGACCATTTAGCTTTCGCCAATACAATTGTTAGGGGATAGGGGGATATGCAAGTATAGGGGATGACGCCAATATAACAGTAAATCATCAGTTCTTCGTTCCAACTCTCCCGGCCATCAAGTTCATTCTGAGTGAGGTCTCGGCTATAGTATTATTGAGCTAATGAAGGCGGCAGCAAGCCCAGCACCGGCAGCCACTAGAGACCCTGGCCTGTTTTCGGCCCGGCCAAAAATGCTGTTTTTCATAGGAGTCGCGGTCGGTTGGCTATGGCCCGTAGCCGATGCTCCCGCATCTGGCATAGCTGTTGGCCCGGATGTGGTCGATAGTCGCTTCGAGGGTTCAGAACCAGGGGTAGGCTGTGCGTGAGCGTAGCATCCACCATAGATTCTGGTCAGGTTCATCCACGCCCTACCGCCAGGAATCGAAAGCATGGCGTCAAACCAGCCAAGTGGACACATCTCGGCGGCTGTGAAGACCGCAGAGCTATGTGACTTCCACCACACAGAGGCCACGCTACCGTAGGCGGAGTAGGCTGGTAGCACAGACGCGGGTATCGAAGTGCTGAGGCTGCACCAGTCAGAGGACTCAGGAAAGGGGCAATCTACTCCCTTCGTTGCTGCGACGCAGTCCTTGATCAGCTCACTGCCATGAGAGTAGACAGCAGAGTAGAAGGCGCCAGTCGGCCTCGGAACATCGAAGTACTCGGTGAGATTCTGTGTCAAGCATTGCCATGGATCAATGGTAACGGTTGGCCGCTCGTTAGGCAGGATGATGGTAATATCGTCGTCCGTGATATCTTTAGCGGCAGCTATAGCCGCGAGAAGGAGTGTGAACGTAGCCCGCATTTTTCTTATAGGCGCTGTAAAAGCTATGTAGCTTCGAGTGAAAGATATGGATATGGGTTGAGCAGCATGGAAGGGGGCGGAGTACAGTTCATCTCGCTTTTTATATATAATAATAACCGCCAATTTTTTCTCAGCGGAGCAGCGCCGCAGGCCAGAGCACATCAACTCCCCTGCAGGTACGGCGCAGTTGAGACACTACTTCGTTACCTGGTCCTGGCACAAAAATTATATTAACTATATGCATTGGACCTTCTCCACTGTTGACATGCAGTGGATCCATTGCTATTGTTGTTGTGTGCGCCAGCAGGGACTGACCGGCAAACGAAAGTCTCCACCAGGCCTTGCTGGGAGCTCGATATACTTAGTTATCGCGGAACGAAAAACTACGTACGGCGTATTAAGGTCCTGGCGTACGTTCGAAAAGAGCAGCAGATCAGCTTCGACCTCGCAGCAGATGGGAGCCAAGTGCTATGGAGTCTGGTTGGTTATCCAATAACTCCTTCTTATTTCTCTCCATCAAGGGTTGACAGCTTGTATTGGCTCGGGGAGAAGCGAATGTCACCCAAGACAAAGCATGCATATCCTGGGATTGTTTGTATCATGTCTCCTCTGCATGGGCTGGTATAGTCGGTGTTGCCCCTTTTCAGAACACCGATAATATGGTGCATCAAGCCAACATTAAAAATGAATGAATGAACCGCCTGGCTGGATTTGCGAGTTTTTTTTTTTTTTTTTTAAAGAACTCAAAAGAATTTCCTCCGGAGAAGGTTCTGGAGTATTTAAACGCACTAATTTCGGACTAGGCTCATGTCTATACCTGGGTGTTCAACGTATACACATGCAGATACTTCGTGTGGACGGGAGATTTCCTTAAAATGTCTCCAACCGTTGCAGGCGAGCTATGCAGTCCCTGGCATTTCAGAAGTGCCTGACAGCTTCGAACCAGTACCTCCTTTAGAGTGAGCCAGATCCCTTTTTGGAAAAGCAATTTATCATAAGCAGGGAGAGTTGGCAAAGCAATGAGAAAACGGAGGAGGCTTTAATATCGTCTCCTCCATCTACTTGGATAGGTCCTCTCCGGTCAACGCTGTACGTAGATAGCTTGCGAAATTGCTCTAACCGGTCCCTGGTCGGGTTCTAGCTGCTTATTATCCCAGATCCAGATGTGGAGGGCGACATGTTCAGGAACTTGCATAACTAATGGAAGCAACTTATAATGAAAATATGAAAATAGTTCGCCCATCCGCCACACCAGTTAACCAACTAACTAGCCAATGAAATGGAAGACGCTTACTAAGCGTCGCTTGAACTGGGTTTAAAACGCACAAACCAAGCCAAGCTCCTCCATATTTTTTTTTTCTTTCTTTCTTTCTTTTTTTTTTTCCCCCCTCCTGGACTCCACCGTTGTGTCAAAACACAACCCCTGATTCGAGCCTGCGTGAGTTTTGATCGCCGTTATTCCAGCCTCATATAACTATCCTTGCTACTTCTACGGCAGCTACAGAGTACACTTCCCGAGACTTTGAAAATGGATCCAAAACTGACGGACGACGAAAAGTCTCGCGTGAAGGACCTGAGAGCTGCAGTCCGGAGGGCCCGCCAAGGGAGCAGCGAGGAGGTCTATGGGTCAGAGGACTACTGGAAGTATAGCAAGGAAGAGCTTGACGGTGAAGACAAGATAAGTGATTTGAGATTCCGTGCGCTGCAGAGAAACAGTGATCTATCGGATCCGAGTTTTGAACAGGCTGCGCAAGAATACAAGTCGCAACAAGAGCAACGGAGTGCCAAACGACTTTCTATACTGGAGAAGGAGAAGCTTTTCGATAAGAGGAATAAGATTCTCCAACAGTCATCGTCGACTACCACTAACCTCACATCTATGCGTGCTGCTTATGTGGATCTGCTTTTGACGATCCAGAGCAAAACAAGCCGTCAGAAGCAAAGCGACTTTTCAAAAGACGTCCTGAGAGCCTATGGTGGAACTACGAAAACCAACAACACCACGTACTGTTTTAGTGTCCTGGATGGCACTCGTCGCGAGAGAGATGAGTTTGTCGCAGCACACATCTTTCCGCTCTCAATTGGACCTAAGGCGATGGAATATATCTTCGGCAGAGATGCAAGATATGAAATAAACTCACCAAGAAATGCTTTGCTTCTCCCGAAGAAGATCGAAAAACACTTCGATGCCCACCAGATCGTCGTTGTTCCGGCTAAATCAGACAACCCGGACGTCCGAGAATGGCAATTTCTAATTGTCGATAAGTCGGGGCTCTGGAACGAGTACGTGTTTCCAGGTGGGGAAATGAAATTCTCTGACCTACATGAACGAAAATTGATCTTTCCCAATGACTTTCGTCCACGAGCGCGATACTTATACTTCCATTACCTTACTTCGATGATTATACACTTCAGAGCGGCGCAGAAGACTGGTATAGTTCGCAGTGAGCTTCCAGACGCTGAGTGGCCAGAGCTCACGAGAGCATGGGCTACGCACGGGGAATATCTAAGGGACAACATGATTTACGGCTTTATGGAGGAGTTGGGACACGATTTGCCGGAAGATCTCAAGCAAAATGCGTTAACACACTGTGCACCCATTCGTTCGAACAGTGAAGCAGAGGAGCTTGAAGAAGTCATCGATTCGTTAGGGATGATTCAAATAGGCAGTGACGATGACGATGACGATGACGATGACGATGACGATGACGATGACGGTGAAGATGGGAATTTTGATGAAGATGATGAGGAAGGGGAGGCGGGTGGTATGTCGGTAAATTGATGTGGATGTTTTTGGAATTTTGCTGTTGTTGATGAGTTCGTTACCTTGAGGTCGAGTGGATGAGGTCAGCAAGCTAGTTAGTTAGTTAGGGCGGTGAAGGCGGGCAGAAAGTTGACAGCTTGCAAGAAGCGAAGAGACAGAAAAGACAGCAAGAAAGGCATCAACTTCACATCAACTTCAGGCGACGTCGCTCTTGATCCATTATTATTACTACACTGGCGGTCGGAGAGAAATTGATTATAGGTAGCTGATATACAATAGCCTAATACATACTCCGTACTCGTGCTGTGCTGCCTTGAATCCCCTTCGCGTTGCGTCGTCGCTTGTGCTCTGCGCACACATCATAGCTCAAGATGGTAGGCCTTTAGACACCCGGCGATATCTACGTTTCCCAGCTAACCAGCGTGGCTGTAGAATTCTCTATTCAACGCTGCCCTGAAACAGTCAGCGGCTGTCCGTCGCGACCTGGACACTTTTGCGGAATCTCCCACCAGCGGACCAGCAGCTCTACAAGGTACCACCATCTTACTACCCGGAGGTACTAGATCCCGGTGAAGGAGCCATGGGTTGACTATATACAATACTATAACAGGACAGATATCTGCATCCCTCACATCCTTTTCACGAACAATAGATGATTACTCCTCGCTCTCGAAGAAGGAGCTCATACCTGCCAAACAAGAGAAAGCGTTCGAGCGGGTAAAGAATTTCAGAACCGAGCTGGCGGACTATAGGCTGCAGTTTGACAGATTACGCAAAGAGAGGGAAGAAGCTGTACGTATAACCTGTGACGAGTGGCTGAGATGTTCCGGAGCTGAACTTTTGGTGGATAGCAAGTTACTGCAAACAGAAATGAACTACTAGGCCGCAGGCCTCACAATGCAGCGACACCCGAGAATCCTTATGCCCAATCGAACCTATCTACGCAACATTCAGCGTTCGCGAGCCCCCACCGACAACAGGCCCATGCAAGCGGCGGGCTTAGCTTCGGCGCTTCACCTTCAGACTATAACCGAGAGACACATGCCCTACGAGAACAGTCGTTCTTAGCCAATACAAATAACCAAATAGATGAGTTTCTTGATAGAGGCAGAGCTGTCCTAGCTGATCTTGGCCAGCAGCGCGAAATGCTAAAAGGCACCCAACGGAGGCTATACAGTGTCGCTAATACGTTGGGAGTAAGCGGAGATACAATACGGATGATCGAGAGAAGAGCCAAGCAGGACAAATGGATATTTTGGGCAGGGCTTGTGATATTTATCTTGTTCTGCTGGGCAGTTCTTCATTTCCTGCGCTGATACGGGGGTTGCTGACGACCTCGGTATTTTCAATCAATCGGCGCCATCGAGCTGCTGTACAGGAGGGAAGTAATTGGTTAACAATAATGGCTCTTTCTTGATGGTTGTCTCGATAATCTTCACCACGGCCCTCCTACCTTGGCTTCAACCAGCTAAGCCCCCAAAGCTAGTACCTGCTACCGGAAGCCAAAAGTATCTCCCAGTGGCGTTTGCGAAGGGATACAACACCTCTACCGTGCCTCGCTATTCCAGCAGACATCGGATAACGTCCTCGAGGCCGACAGCAAACGAGGCTTGAAACATTTAATTGGTAATGGCTGAATCTGAATGCCAGTCAAATAACTTGACAAAGATGTACGACCAAGCCTATCTGCATAGTTACGAGAAGGCTATTGTATACAACAATGGAGACGTTACTGCTACTTGTATCAACATGAGATATTGTTTAAACACCGCATCATCTCTCCCTCAAGAGAAGCGTGTAGTTATCTATGATAGCTCGTACGAGGTATATTCAAGGATGACCTCATCTTGTGGTAGAAAAGGGGTCAAATCCTTCCCGCTCATCAGGATGTCTCCATCGGACTAACTACCCATGTCACAGCACTCTATCAAGCCAAACATCAAAAGGCGAATGGGTTGCCCGGTGGCCGTTATCAGGCCAATCATTGATGGAGCGGCTTTGCTGCCGGGCGTCTGTCCCGTCCAAAGGACGCTTAAGTCCTCGTATCAACTGGGGCTATGCTGGCTTCGGGCCAATCAGCCACAAACGGGAAAACGCAGCGACTTTGTTCAAGGATGAGAGTCCTGCAGAGTAAATATATAAATACGATGTTCAGCCGCGTTTTTGTGAAACGTCTTTGCTGGTGAAGAGGAGGTGGGATTATTAGTCATATGACTTCTGCTACAGCTGCTTTCGACTTCAGTTATCGAGCTGGGTCGGAGTGAAGTCGTCAACTAAATGAGATGATTACCGATGCGCCATCACGTCGAATGTGTTTTATATACCGATGATCCGCCATACGAGACCCGGACGTGAGCTATGGGTGTCGATTTCACTATACGCACTGTGCATCTTGCTGCTGGTCGAGGGTAGCAGGGCGGCACCAACCTCGACTTTACCAGCAGCCGGAGCCAAGTTAGAGCCCCGGGGGATCTTTGGTCCTAACGAGACAGCAGCGGGGGATGATTCTGTTCTCTGCGTCTTCCCGATAAGCGGACAGTATGGCTTTCTCTCTCGCCTGTTATACTACGGCTCCCTTGTCTTTGCCATCATCGGACGAACCCATAGATGGCTTGTTCTAGGAGCGTTGGCATCTGCTCTGGCCTTTGCAGGCTCGACTTCTATACATATGTTGACGCTGGTCACTTCCAAGACACCGGCGTTTGATTTGGACATTCTCGCTGCATGGTCGATTCTGACAACGGGATGTCTGGCCTTTGCAGCACTGATACATTGGTCTTCATCTGTCAGGAACTCTGATTCGAGAGTTGTGTTGATTCTGTGGGGTATGATGGTTGGCATAGGCTGCGTGACGGGCAGGGCATTGCTGCTGGATGTCAATTCCCAGGCTGAGCCGGCCTGCAGGTCCTCGAACGGGACGCTTCTGAAGGCACAGTCTGAGCTGGCCAGCGGCATGTTTAATTGCACCTACAAGTGCTTTGGAGTCCGAACGCCGCTGAGAGACCCATCTGAGATCACAGTGATGCCAGCCAAGGTGTTTGTTGGGACGTATTCGACATTGACCGTGGCATTGATGGCTCCGATTCTCGCTGCTGCGCATAAGAGCATGTCTGTGAACTTGTCGCTGCACTCGCCTTCTGATCTATGTGCACACTGGGTGCTGGGCTACCTGAACCATTCTCTGAACGCCCGCCTGTCACAGCACATCTACAACGCTGCGTGCTCAACCTGGTACGGCGGGTACATCCTGTTGCTGCGGTATGCGAGCACAGCCAAGTTCCAGTCCAACAAACGCCGCCTTATAGCCATCACGCTCATCTGTCCACTGCTTGTTATCGACCTGGTCCTCGACATCCTGACGCCCTTTATCTTCATTGCAAACATCCTCATCAACGAAATCAACCTGATGATCAACCACTTCCCCGTCGAAGAAGGCATCCGTTCAATCGGGCAGTGGTCCCCCATGGTTTCTGCAGCGCTGGTCATCCTCGCCGCCATCATCAACCAGCTCACCGAGCGCCATCGAATACTGAAGGAGAAGAAGAAGGCCGCAAAGTCATCCGACCCTCACTCTGGACTGCCGGTCTGGTCTCACTCCCAGACATGTGAATCGCAGACCTCGGCTAGTCCCTTGGTTTACGACCACAGAACCCGTCACGGAGACACTGATCGGAAGCCAGGACATCACCATCACGCTCAGGAGATCGGGGTTATCGAGAGAGACTTCAGTCGCCAGGAGACGCTGCACACAGAGCTGGAGGACTATCCCAAACACTCCCCCAAGGCCTATATACGGCCATGAACCCCCCTGTAAACTTCAGCCAACCTACCCCAGATCGCCGCCTATGTACTTAGCTAGCCTAGAACTGTAACTGAGTAATGTTAAGTAGTAGCGAGCCTGCCATGCCACGGCCAGCATCTTCCCTGCTGTCTGATGTTTGATCGCTGTCTCTCTTTGCTTTTCTTCTTGATATCAAAATCCAAAAGTTTGACGCCGAAATCGCCGGCCGAGCCCGAGTGCACGTGACTTCCCGTCCGAGAAAAAACATCAACAACTTTTCGACTTTCGACTTTCGACTTCGACTTCATCTTCTTCTTCTTCCCACGAGACAAGCAAGACAAATAACGCCGACCGCCACAACTCCCTTCTCACCCGCTGTTTGTTGAGATCCCTCATTCAATTGCATTCACCATGTTCGCCGCACGCCGCACCGCCACTCTCTTCCAGAGACGAGCTTTCTCTGCCACTGCCTCCCAAGTAAGTGACGCCGGCCCCAACGCTTCCGGGGAGCTTCGGTACAGCTTGACGGAGCATTCCTTCGCTGCAGGATATGTGTGCTAACGTAGAATTCGGTTGCTATAGGCCTCCAAGGTCTCCGTCCTCGGTGCTGCCGGTGGCATTGGCCAGCCGTTGTCCCTGTTGATGAAGTTGAACCCTCGTGTGTCTCAGCTTGCTCTCTACGACATCCGTGGTGGACCCGGTACGTAGCTACGAAACACCCAATTGCAGCCTCCAAGCTCTGCAATTGAGGTGAACATTGAAGAAGAGGCCATAAAACTGACCGGTCGATTGCAGGTGTTGCCGCTGATTTGAGCCACATCAACACCAACAGCGTTGTCAGCGGCCATGAGCCTACCCCATCCGGCCTCAAGGAGGCTCTTGAGGGATCTGAAATTGTCCTCATCCCCGCCGGTGTCCCCCGCAAGCCAGGAATGACCCGTGATGGTATGTTTGCTCGCTGCTGTTATGAAGCATCAATGGAAAATAGGGAGAGGTTTTGAAGCTGACTTGTCAGACCTTTTCGCTACCAATGCCTCCATTGTCCGTGACTTGGCCAAGGCTGCCGCTGAGCACTGCCCCAACGCCAACATCCTCGTCATCTCCAACCCCGTAAGTACTTCATTTGCAATAGTAACAGTCGAAATCGCCGTCTAATGTACGAATAGGTCAACTCTACCGTCCCAATTGTTGCCGAGGTCTTCAAGACCAAGAACGTCTACAACCCCAAGCGTATCTTCGGTGTTACCACCCTTGACGTCCTCCGTGCCTCTCGCTTCGTCTCTGAGATCAAGAACACCGACCCAGCTGATGAGAAGATCCCCGTTGTTGGTGGTCACTCCGGTGTCACCATCATCCCACTGATCTCCCAGTCCAACCACTCCGACATTGCCGGTGAGGCCCTCGACAAGCTCATCAACCGCATCCAGTTCGGTGGTGACGAGGTTGTCAAGGCCAAGGCCGGTGCTGGATCTGC